GTCGTATGTCGTTACGAAGTTACACATGGTTTAAGTTGACAATTTGTCAAGATGGCGAAATATTCGTTTTTTGGGGCTTTTCGTAAAAATTGAATATCTCAGTAGCACAACAACTTTAAGACCTCCGATTTTCATTAAAATTCACGAAAATGCCTGCTCTAGAGAAATCTTCTACTTTGAAAGAAATCTGAGGTGGTCGATTGAGCACGTTGGGTCATGGCTTATCTTTGATGGCTCATAGAAGAGAGTCTTTCCTATATGTTCCGCACTTTCGAGCGTCTTTTGAAAAGACGCTCGAAAGTGCCACGAATTTCGTAAGAGTCGTATAAGACACTTATCTCAGACAGGTAAGAAGCAGAAAAGATTCACGTAAGATTCCCAAAAAAGCCGTGTCTGATTCTTATCAGACGCTGATAAAGTTTCTGTTTAAATCTTCTCTCATAGCACATAGCAGATTAAGACAGATTCTGCCAAATCGTATCTTCTTTCACACGCTCTTTTCAGCATCCCAGGCAACCACAAATAATTTTCAGCTCCTCGATGCTGTGCGACCTGCTGTTGAAAACAAGAAAACAAATTTTTAAAAGTACCAAAATTTAGGACACAACTTCATGCAACGTCGCAACTCTTCTATAACAGTTATCTTATAATGATTATTCTCTTCAAAAAGCGGACTACGTTCGCAGAAAGATCCCGATAACTACGAAGGAAAGTCCGAGAATGTTCATTTCTTACCTTGTGGTAAATAGATTTTTTCTTCATCTAGATAACACAGCACCTTTTGTGATATGAACGATAGAATGTAGAGCTCTTATGTTCGAATAAGCGCAAAATAAATCAATATTATTATATGTATCAAACTTAGCGTGTTTTGCAGTTTGAACTCTTTAGGTTATATTCAAGCACACGGAAAATGATTGAAAAATGATATTCGAAGAAGGTCACATTCACACGACACATTATGACTTAGTTTAATCCTAATCTTTCCAATCTGGTCCCGTGTGAACGCACGCACGCACGCAGGTTGTTAACTTAGTTTAAGAACTCAGTTTGGCAATTTGCCAACTTGGTTAAGCTAAACAAGTTTATAGAACTCCAACTAGAAGATGGATAGCAAGAGACCCTAGGATGAGTAGGAAATATCTTCAAAATAGTCAAAAGGAGCCTTTACGTCGTTGTCGTCTATAGTTTATTGGATATTTTGAATCACACTCTCCGTCAGCCGAGAACTACCTTCCTCTAATATGGAGAATCTACATCGTTATCTGAGTACTTTCATTTGTACTATTAGGAACGTTCTGAGAAAAAAATCGCATAACTAAATGGCTCAATTACGGTGGATCGTAAGGTTATTCGTGCACCTCATTTTTGACACTTTTCTAACAAAGTAGGAAAGAAAGAAGCTAATAGCATATAGACTAGAGACAACAGGTTACATTGCGGTGTTTGTTTGGGTTATCTAGCTCATTTGATTTGGCCACAGCAGAGGTATATAAACAATATGATACTACAGATGTGGACGAATAATTTTTCGATCTACAAGATGAAGGGGTCGAGCCTGGAGCGACCTAAGTAAAACTTCAAATCTCGATCAAAGTTTTTGAAAGACAGTTTTTTAGACTCATTTTTCGATGAGAAGTTCGGCAAAAATAGTTTCAAAGAGTTTTAATACGAAGGGAAAAAGTACAGCGAAATTTTTGAAAATTAGCGCTTTTTAGGTTTTCTGGTCCTTCCCAGTATTTCGAAGTTTTCTCCCTCAAAACTTGCTTAAATCAAGCTAAAAATGCGATATTCGGAATCACCATGAAATTCTCTATCCGAATATGTGTAACAAACTCGAAAATAAAATCTTACTCACTCTTTGAATTAGCGGCGCCTTAGTTTTATCATTTGTGCGCTCAAGGATAAATTGTTCTTCTTCCTTTTCAATAACTTTATTTCCAGCACCATCAATTTCTACAATTGCTGGCTCTAAACAGAGACAGAGAGAGTTACAGAAACTGGACGAAGCAAAAAGCTTTCTTAAAATAACTACTTACCTTCATCAATGTCAGTTGTAGCCAGTTGTAAATTATTCTTGGGTTTAAATTCATCTAGACATAATTGTAGATGACATTCAATGCCAATCAGAAACAACTTAACGAATTTTTCGTTTGTATAGTGATCCGGCCATCCCATGAGGTATGAAGCCGCCTGTGGACCCGATAATTCTTGCTGACTAGCGATGGTATTATAACATCGAAGAGCCAAACGCCGCGATCTTTCTTGAACGTCTGTTGTTCTTATATCGCTATTTTCGATCGATTCCAGGCCTTTTAACATCAATGAATAGGTGTCATAAAATGATAAGCTTGATTTTGTTACGTAGTCTGTTATATAGTACACTAGAGCTTTAGCATCTGATGCTGACCATATATACTTGATATCCATATTACATCGAATTGCTGTTGTGAGCCATTCATTAAAATTGTTAATCCACGGATGGTTTCGTCTCATTTCTATCACACCTGTGTCAACATTAATGTTTGACTGTTTAATAATTTTCCTTGGCATTATCATTCAACATTCCTCCGACTTTGAATATTTCCAGCACGTATCGGTATGTTTGTGAATGTTGCCTTCTTCGACCAGTTTCACAGTATAGGCTTTAAATTAACAAAACAATTGAACTGTTCGGGTTGCGTAGGGTCGATTGGAAGAAATTTCCGATCATCTATTTATGAACGAAGGATATGTAGAAGCAGCACGAAACGATAAGTAAGAGAGCGGCGTTTGTTGGTGAATACTCACTTTGAAACTGGTCAAGATCTTCTTTATTAATATCTTCTAAATATTCAATTAAATTCTTTCTAAATTCTTTATCTTTAATCATTTGTTTCACGTCTGCTGGCGCATACTCGTGATCCAACCATATCAACATATGTAAGTGTAAAGAACCACGACCAGAGCTTTCAACTGTACCATAATAAGCTTTTGTCGAACCAAGTACACCTTCACCGCTGATCATAGTGTCAATGACTGTTTGAATTAAATGATTAAAAAATTTGGCCGTTGCTGCAGGATGTGATGCAATAAGTTCTGCTCGTTTTCGAACAGTTAATGGGAAATTATTTGATAGTATTTCATCAATATCCATATTAACACCAGCAAAATACATAGGCATAGGACTGTGTATATCAGCTGGATTTATTGTTATAAATATACTTGGTAGACCTAGTTTGTATATTAATGAATGTATTTCGATTCTTAATTCAGCACGGGAGTGATCTGAACCCATAACATGACCAGCAACAGCTTTGACTTGTTTTAGTAGTATGTCTAAACGTGGATTAGCTTTTGAGGAATAGGTTTTACTTACGATACTTGTTAATGCCACTCGTAGATCTTTGGTTGTTAATGACTGAATCTGGCTTGCATAATCTTTAAAATATGGCCTTGATACAATTAGCCGAGCTTGTTGACATGCATCTGGTCTTTGAATCATATTAAATACAGCATACATAAACGAATAATGCTCTTCGAATCTTCTGTCGTGATACGATAACAAATATTCCACATGTTTCTTGAATGATACTTTTGTCTTTCTTGAAGTATCTTCCGAGCCTCCTACACCATAGGGAAATAATGTTGGAAATAGGCCTGAACCATGAAAAAATTAAACTGAAATACTCTACTGGCAAATATTGTATTAATTTACCAATAAGCAAGTCTGGGTTAGAATACTCATTACCTGGTCTATCACATCGTGGAATCTGGAAATGTTTTCGTTTTCATTTTCTTTTGTTGCGCGTGTGTTATGTTGTGCTTCTGGTTCGTCCCCACTATCTATTTCATTTGCTGAATCTATTATTTGTGCTGAATCAACTTTAAGCTTCTGTAAACACGACGACCCTGGTATTGCATTAGACAAAACAAAACTACTTGTCCAGTCGTTCAAAAAATCTTATCCTCAATCTTCATTAGCATTAACAACATTGTCTCCTCTTCTTGTTCGTGGCACTAAATCGTCAGTTGATCATGTACGTAATGATATTACGGAATATAATCGGTTGTTGACCTCTATTGATGGTGTTGATATTATCAAAGTGAACTATGATGACAGATCGATGGTATGTGTAGATGGTATCCATTTAAGTGACTCAGGAACTC